TCTATTTTTAGAAGTAATTAAGCATGCCTCTTTTAAAAGCAAAACTCTTCAATTTATGATGTAAAAAAGTTGAGAATAAAAGAGCAGCATAGTTACACTAATATGCCATTGTAGCATGTTCCCATCCTGTCATCTGGAAAATTAAATCAGGTTACAGCATGGATTAACATCTAGACTTGTGAGGAGGGGAAGGTAGTGTCTTAAATGCCATGAAATTGAACAATGGGATTATACAGTTCACAGCTAATTTCAATATTCTTCTGTATTTGGCTTTTTGTTGAACAGGGTTCTGTAGGGAGAGGCAGCAATAGCTTTCAGAACTTGGAAACATTCACATATTTAGTGAAATACTAACAATAATAGCTTGAGTATGGTTGAGTAATCAATACAGTGCTCTACATAATGTGCATAGATGTGAGGTAGAATCCCTGCTACTAGACGGAAGAACTAAATGTGTTAGCAGTGGAAACTGTATTCACCTAGTGTGGAATCAGTGGTTTGTGTTATCCATTTGTTGATAGTCTGTAAATGCATGGCAAGGAATCAAAATGCTGCTGTGACAACACCCAAGAGTTTTGCTCTTGTATCACTGAGAAACAGCTTTGTCTTCTCTTGCCTCTCTTCAGAATAAAAGATATGTTCAGTTACAAAGATTTAACATGTTGTTCATAGGAGAAGAGGTTCAGTAGTTTCCCTCAAAAAGCACTTCTTAAAATAGTTGCAAAGGAAACTGCTTCAAAAACAACCGTGTGATCCCTTTTGTATGTGTTTTTCCTCACTGGCCCTCCCTAGAACAGGCTGTGAGCAATAAGGGCTAGTGGTTCTACAGGCCTTTGGCTATCCTAGACCTTGTGGGCAGCAGCTGCATTGTATGGAGCCGTATCCACTGGGAAGGGGGCCTGTGAGGAAGTGCACCGGGTTGGTAAGTGAACCCACTCTGACTTCAGTGAAGTCACTCGTGGATCTTAGGAAATTTGTATGACATGCCATTGGTTTAAAAGCTTTTCAAACCTGAGTGTAAGCATTAGGAATAAAATTGGCTCTTTTCTTAGTACCAACAGTTCTAATTTAAATTCTTGCTGTATATGTGCTAGATTTGTGCCTGTACAAGATGGGGAGATTGCAGATAAGATAGTGTGGTTTAGCTTTATTTTGGAAAGCGATTGTTTGCATACTTTCTGCTTTACACTTGTAACTTACAATTTCTGGTGCTATCAATATTAATACATGGTTATTTTCTGGAGAAGTTTGTCAGTGCTTGCTTTAGGCAGAAACTGTGCATATCTTGTCATCTTTTGTGAGCTGAAACTACAGAATCAGATGTAATGAAAGATAAACATGGAGATAATAAGTTACCATCAACAGACAAGTTAAACCTGTAGCACGACCTGAGTTTGTGTTTTGGGGTTGGGAAAAGGTTAGTTTGAGAAGCAGCTCCATAATTCATGGATGTTTTTGCTTTGTTGTTAACTTTCACTTTGTTTGTTTGTTGTTTTGCAATGTCTCCTTTCACTGACCTCAGCTGAGCTTTTAATGCTTTATGACTGGTGCACGGGAAATCTTCAAGCTCTGTTCTTCACTGTAACGATCCAAGAGGTTGGTTAGGATTTCGGTCTTGTCCTTTCCCTTGCTTATGTCAGCACATAGATTCCACTCTCCTGAACTTGAAAAAAGTATTTTACATGTTTACTTTGCCTGTGGAATATTAAAGTAGGAAAACATTTGAAGATCATTTCATTAGAAAAGCTGTTACGTACCTAGAATGACAGCATTCACTGTGTTTTGAGACAGTAAGAAGCTGCAGAGGGTTTCTTACTGTCTGTAGGAACAGTGGAGCTACATCTAACTGTTCACAGGCAGTGTGCAAAGCAAATTGCTGTTAGTAAAAGTGTTTGAAGTTTTTAAGCTACTTTAGTTTTATAGACAGAGTTGACAGACAGTTACGTTCATGTCTTCACTAAGTATTTCATATGAGTGCTGGAGCATATTTTACTGATAGTAGTGGTGCTGCTTAAAGCTGAATTCTGAGTGCTTGGCAGAGCTCCCCTCCTGTATTTCCTCTGTTTGTGTGGCTCTTGGTTTAGTGAGGGTGCTCCAGCTTCCTGGAACTTCATGTAATGGCCACAGATAATTTAAATATAATTTTATTGTGAATATATGTAGGTAAGTGGAGTTGAAAAAACCTTTCAAATGAACATTAGGTTAACAGTGAAGAATGGGTAAAGTGATGAAGCTATAATGAGATATGATGCAGTTTCTTTTTCCATTGTGTGGTGTTTTCCAAATAAATAAATAAAGTTCAGTAAATATTCCCAGACCATTTAAAAGCTGAAGTGATGGAGCTGATGCAATGTTAAATATAAAGTACTTGTAAAAGCATGAGGAAGTGCAAACGTGTGGCTGCCAGGCACAATTTAAAGGTGGTTTTCTTAACTGTAGGGTTCCAGGTTATATGGATTAGCCATTCTGATGGTGTTATGAGATGTGTCATCAAAAGCAGACTGTATACAAACTGTGTGTGTGTGTGTGTGTGTGTATGTGTGTGTGTATATATATATATATATATATGTATGTATGTATGTATGTATATACTGGTCTTCTTCAGTTTTCTCCTTTACCAAACTCACTCAAGACACAAAATGAGAAATGGGTATTCTAAATATTTACTCGCAGTTTATATAACTAGACCTATGGGAAGGGTTCTTAAAATGCGGTGTACCTGCCTCATGTGGCAGGCAAACCTCAGCAGCAAAGGTAGTACATCCCAGTGCCTTTCCTGAAGGGAACATAGCTCTGTCTTCTGGACGCTGATCTGACCCAGAGCTGTCATTGTTTACAGAAATACTGCCAAATACATTCCTATAGGCCTCCCTTCATGCCAATGAGCTCCTGAAACACAGAAAGACTTTTAAGATGGTAAGAAAACAGGAAAAATAGATGTTTATCCCCCACCCCATTACTTCGTATGACTAACCTGTTTTGTTGTATTTTCAAAGAATAGAGAGTATGGATTGCGATCTATGGAGGAAAGTGTTTAGAGCAAACATATGGATTTCTATGCTGATTTAATTCCTCATTTCCTTAAAAAATGATAAATGATGAAGTTCTGTGTATTTCAGTATGTGTATGTATATTTATATTAACTTTGAGAGTAGCTGGTTAGTTGAAGTCGTAGAGGTGGGGAATGTCAGTGTTGTGTTCCAGGCACTGTTAAAGATTTCTTAAGTAATATTATGTACTTGGATTTTAAACTTATTTCTTTCATTGATTGGTCTTTTTATGTGAAATTGTGAAAGCTGAGCCTCAAATAATTAATTCTAAAAATATTTAAGAATATGCATCATGATAGATGTTGCATACTTTCATTTTACCACTGATACTGTACCTGCTTTGGGGAAATAGGAAACACTATTGTCCAGTTAGTTGTTAATTCCACTGTTCAGGCTGGTTTGCATGTTTGGACACTTTGCTTAGCACATTTACCTGCATAGAGATTTAGGGATTTTCAAACTAAGGCTTTAAAAGCCTTGTTTTGTATTTCTACTTTGTTGTATTAATGTGGAGGGTTTGCTCATACACTTATGTAAAATTTGATATATTATGTATGTCATTGTATGTGTGTAACGGTGAAATGTTAAAGCTAAGCATCTGATTGTCTGGGAAAAGTGAAGTTCAAAAACTCACAAATGTATAGTTTTGCTGTATTTCTAAGGTAAACAGAACACACCTTAATAAAAAGTGTGCATCTGGTGGTAGCAGTGGAATCACCCACCAACTAATTAATCACTAAAACAAACTTTGCTGATGGGAAATGTAGGGTGGAACTATTCCGAAATAACAGTGTGAGGTGTCTGTGGCTTAAAAATGACTCTTTTTTCCCTTCGAGCCTTAGCTACAACCAAGTACAGCAATAATTGAGCAGCAGAGGTGGCGTATGCGACGTCACTCCCTAAATAATGATCAGAATTAGTGAAAACAGTGTCTTCAGTGAGCCAAGCGTGGGACAACTGGACCTGTCTGAGCACACAAAGGGTAGAAACTGTTCAGGACACCAGCTGGTTTTTCCATGCATTGCACTTCATTCTGAACTCGTGTGTGATTGTTGCGTGGTTTGGGTTTTGTAATGAAAAAAATTATTTGTGGAATGGAATCTGTCCTTCTCAGCTGTATTCCTTTGAAAAATGGATGGCTTTGAAGAGTTCTGTTCGAAATCGGTTGTCGTATAAATAATTTCGATGATGATATTCTGTTGTTTTATGAACATCTCTAATTAAATTTAAGATAACTTCTCAGGGAATACTACCATATTATTTATTCTGACAGCCAAAGGAATAAGGACGTTGCATCAGTCTTGAATGCTTGTTAATCTGAAGCATTTAATGTTTGTTTGCCTTATGACAGAGGTTCCAGGGCTCTGTTAATTACCCCTTTGGAGTTCGGGATAAACACTTTTGTTTTCAGGGGAGCACATCTTAACATTTATATAAAGTAATTCTGAGAGACTTGTAATCTGGTATCACTGAAAGCTGCCGAGGTTAACCAACACAGCTGGCAGAACTGCTTATCCAATTAAACCCAAAATCTAAGTGCATTTGGTAACTATTTTCTGGTGACAAGCCTCACTGGCAAATTGCAGCCAGAAAGATACTGCACAAGGTAAAAGCCTGAAGTTGGGTGTAGCACCAGGACATCTCTTATAAAATTATGTATCTATACTTATATATTTATATATATCTGTGTATGTTTGCATGTACACACAGATGTTTGTGGTTTTATGTGTTCTGTGTGTATGCTTTATGTGCAGTTTTTGTCTTTCTGGAGGAGGGTAAAGGGAGAGCCTTGAAAAGTCCTTCCCTGCTCTTATCAACACAGCAGCCTCAGCTGCCCTCCTTGGATCCCCTGCCAGGGTTGCTATCATCTTCTGATCAAATATTAATGTGTGATTCTCTGCTTGCTCACTAATCCAAAGCCAATTAATATTATCTGTCAATTATTTACAG